GCTAATGTCAACCTATAGAACATACAATCCAACAAAGAGAGCCTATTATAAAATAGGTTAGGCCGTTAGGGAGCTAGCATGCCGAGAAAATAGCCGTGTTCTAGATCATAAGGATGACTAAACAACTCTATATACACCTTATGTCAAGCTTAGAATGGCCTTTTCTAATTGCCCTTTCCAGAACGTTTTTCATATTGCCTGCTCGGAATATAAGGGGCCAGTTATTATTAAGGAAATATAACAATCAACATAATTCTTTTATACAAAAAGTGCATTATACAATGAGTGTTTCTCTTGAATTCTTGTATTTGAAAAAACAATTGCCTGGATTGATAAGTAAATAGGTTTGAGAATATATGAATGATAAAAAAAAAAAAAAATTGTGTCTGTGTTATTTTATTTTTTATTTTTACACTCATCCATGTAATGTGTTTAGCGGTTAACAGAATTAATTATTTATACAATTACATAGAGTTGAACCAGAATCTCAAAGCCCACCATCTCCAGAAGTTCTTCACAACAATTAAGATAATTTAAAAACCAATAAGGTTGTCGCATCAGCTCGTTGGATTGATTAGAAATGACTAGATCTCACTGTATTGATTGAATCCTAAAAGCATAATGCTATCTTGCAATTCAAATGGGCAAATATAACTTTTGAAAAAGATGGGAGTTGGAAGCGTAAATGATTTAGACAAACATATTGATCCAAGCTTATCTCTTATTGTAGGAAATAAGTTTTGAAAAACCAATATAAAAGAAAGATCTTTTTCCCATTCGAGCTTTGAATTCATGTGATATTGAGGATGATATTTCAACAGTTTGCTTTCAAAGAGGGTCCTCCCTTGTCTCCATTATGGGAGGCACATATGACTAGCAATGCAATCACCAACACACACTTAGCCACTCCCACCATAATTATTATCACTCAACAAAGGCATTGGTCTTCTCCACATCAAAGCAAAGTGATCAATTTAAAGAAAAAGAGGAAAAAAAAGTCATTCTCTCATCCCTTGTGTGAATCATACAAAAACCCTAAAGTTTGCTTGGCAATCAAGTGGGAGAGAATGATAAAAGAAAAGTGTAAAAAAAAAAAAATGTTTGTAAAAAAAATTATTTTAAGGACACCCACTATGGTGACCAAGAACTACATGGGATCTTCATGATATAGAAGTCAAAGGACTAAGATTACTTCAACTCTCGTTTGATCTTTAGATATTTAGTATGGAAATAATTTGTCCTTATCATGAGGAGTGATTCTCGCAGATTAATAATCATATGACTTGTAAGAATAATCCCTTCTATTTCTGTCCTTAAGATTTTAATCTGCTTCTGCAATAGTGAAAGGGGAATCAATAATCATAGCAACCTCGAACTTTTGAATTTTGAAAATAAAAGCCACTTTGGACCAATTTACCCTAATCACTATTCCATTCTTATGTCATCTAGCTAGAGTACCAAATTCGTGTAACGCAAGCATGTAGTCTTTTTCCTTCGATTTTATTTGTTTATCCATAAGAAATTATCTATCTATCGGATTTAGAGAGATTAGTCCTTCCTCAATCATCCCTTCCATCCCTGATACGACAAAATATATAGGGTCGCCATCATGCATGATCTTACCAGTTAAGCTAGCCCAGCACTAATGATCATATTGGATCTACCATTAAACAATTGCTGTATTTGTCATAAAATGAAGGGTTCACATGATCTGATTAACATTAAATATGATTAATGAAAACATAAAAGAATAAACTAAATAAAAAAAATCAAAAGAAAATAAGTAACGATCAAGTTTGTAGGATTCTAGAAAAGAAATCCTTTAATTAATGGTAGTGATATAATTAATTAGTAGGTACTAATCATCAAGTGATTACTCAATACACAAATTTTTGTTTCTTCAACACTCAATGATCTCTAAACTTTCATCACTTTCCCTATCGGCCAATCCTAAAAATATTGATTTGAACAGAAATAGTAAAAACTTCATTCACATCACAAGGAAGAGTTAACACAAACCTTTCACAGACTTTTGCTCAAGTTGATACAAACTGCTCCTTTAATTATTTGGGTAATTTAGATCTAAACAATAACGACGATGTACTTCTTTTACCAAAATCATCAAAAAGAAAATAGAGAAATATCACAAAAAGAAAATAAAAAAGGTTAGATATGATCTAGTTTAGGCTTAATTTCGATTAATGTAAAAACTGATTTAAAAATATCTCATTAAGGGAAAAAAAAAAAAAAAAGGAAAAGGAAGATGAAGGTTGGTTAGACATCCAGGAAAAGTTGATGCAATAAATAAAAGTTAGAAGTGGAGAATCATGCATTGCTTACTACTCTATGTTGAATGGCAAGCTGCAGAATGTGGAAAAAATAGATGGACACTATATACAATCAATCTGTGTCCAACCAAATTAATTAGAAGAAGAAATGGTCTATTGAAATTTGACAAGTTAATTAATTAATCCTTGAATTATACAAATTTCACCTGTTTTTCAAGTCGCATAAGATATCAAATTGCAATGGCATTTTTCAAACAAATAATATATCACTCCCTACTTATAAATCAGTACAAGAAGAAAAATGCTTGCCAACGTCATTTGAAGGCACTGAAATTATTGCAAATACGTACAGCACCTTCAAACTACCACAGAAATTGCATTTAAAAAATAATAATAATAAAGTCAATAAGCCCTAAAATTACACTCAATCATTCAAGAAGATAAAAAAAACTGTGGAATCATGCATGGTCATGCCTGTTACAACAAACGTTTTGGCTTGTTAGGGGTAAAAGCCATCCATTTATCCAACCCCAGGTAGGAGACTTTTCTTGTAAGAATAAATAACATCCTATTGCCTAAATTGAACTATCATATTGGTTGGTACATACTATCCTTCTAGGGAGTATGTGTACTTACTTTTATGAGTACTTTTGGTTGGCCAAAAACCTTTACCAAGTTATGCTATACGTTTTAGAATAATTTAACACTCATGAATGGTACACATTCACGCAAATGTATCAACCTCATGGATCATCATTCTCCTTTGTTAGGTTTTGCATAATATATTATTATGTCCACCATAGGATAATATATATATATTTTTTTACTACTATATATTTTGGAGATTAGACTTAAAACTCGCTTTCAAGCCACAATTGAATATTGTTATGTTGGGTTTGCCCTCAAGAAATTAGGCATCTTTTGTCATAGAGAAAATCTAAGAAACTCCCTGTCATTTTCTTTAGCTGGTTTTAGGCATCCACTCAAATTAATGTGAGCTTAGTTGCTTTGACAAGTGTACGATTGCTGATACACTTAAAATGGGAAACCATTTTGGCCCTCTCTCTCTCTCTCTCTCTCTCTCTCTCAGAGCCAGGCTTACATGCTATGCAGAAAATTACCTCTCTATGTGTTTTTGTTTTTTTTTTGAAAAAAAAACAAGTTTTATAAAAAGCTAATGATAGAAATATCTCTAGACACTGTAGTTGTGAGTTGTGATGTGTTTGATTTAACAAAGTCTTATATGTCTCTGCACACTGTGCAGAACACTTCTTTGGTTGCAAAAGAAAAAAAAATGCTAGCTTTTAACATTTACCGCTTGTTTTATTTAACATTTTTATTGATAAATTAATAATCAGACAATTCTAGAAGGTAATTCACTAATTTGGCAACTCTTATGAAGAAGATGAGTAATAATTTAAGGCTGAAAATATGAAGGATTGGTAGATGAAAATCCTATGGGAACGGGACACGTACATGCCAAACTCATGCTGAAAATTAAGATTTTGTTGATGGCCAAAGTACCATGTCAGAAAAACCCTTTGCTACGGACCCACTAGGATCCTATCTCCAGACAAACATAAAACAAATCAAATTTAAAACCTCCCCTCCTTTTTATGCCTTACCTGCAAACATACACCACCATCTGGGCCATTCTTTGAGGTTGCACCTGATGCCACAGTTATTTTCCTTATTTTAGCAGTGCAGAAAGTTTTGAACTTACAAGTATTTTGGGTGTTGAAAGCAATCATTTCATGAAAAAATACATCATGCATCAATTGAAAGAGTTAACAGCAAGCTTTAATTTTGTTTCCTTTATGTAGCCTGTGTCCAATGGATGGGACTATAGAGTGAGTTAGAAGCAACCCCACCAAGCCTTTCACAGGCAACCAAGTGTTGACACCTCAAGCATCCACATGAGCGCTTGAGTTCCTTACAAGAGATGCCATGGCAATTGGCATCATAGGTTGCTGTTACAATTATAGCATGCAAGAGAAATAATGAGAGAGCAAGAAAGAAATGGATAATTAATCCATCCATGAAATGTTCAAATGGGGGTTCGGTGTTGTATTTCTTTCATGTGCTGTCGTTTGTCTAGAACGGTGAAATTGGAATGGTGGTTCAAGTTGTCATCATATCTAAAATTTTAGTCAAAACACAACCCTCCACTGACCACTGCAGTTGAAAAGGAGGTAAGAAAAGTACAGTCATGCACCCATGTTTGTATCTTACAGAGAGACAGAGAGAAGGTAGAAAAGTACACAATTACATACATGTTTGTAAAAAGAGAAGTAAACTCAGAGGGCAGAAGTGAAATTTTAATGTTTTGAGTTTGAAGTTTTTACAATGAGTGAGAGTACATTATGATTTTTTGCTTTTTTTAATGTCATATTATATTAGTACTATAGGGATTGAGTTATGTGTTTTTGTCTGTCATTCTTTGTTGCCAAAAACAGTGAAACTCATGAAAGTTTAGGACTTTTCAGGTCACCTTCTTCAATCAAAGAGGACCCATCTTTTTTAAGCTTATTTTGCATCTCTTCCCCCACTTTTCTATCTTTCCTGTTCATGGATCCCAAGGGCTCTAACTCAAAAAACCCACATGAGCTACCCAATTTCTTGACCCACCCTTCTCCTTCTTCTCATCCTCCACAACCCCATCATCATCAACAACCACAACACCTCCATAGCCAAAACCAACAACAACCCAACATGGGAGAGAACAAGCCAGCAGAAATCAAAGACTTTCAGATTGTAGTAGCTGACAAAGAAGAGCAAAAGAAACAGTTAGCGCCAAAGAGAAGCTCAAACAAAGACAGACACACAAAAGTTGAAGGTAGAGGTAGAAGGATAAGGATGCCAGCTCTTTGTGCAGCAAGAATCTTTCAATTAACAAGAGAATTGGGTCACAAATCTGATGGCGAGACAATACAGTGGCTTCTACAACAAGCTGAGCCATCTATAATTGCAGCGACTGGGACTGGTACTATACCTGCATCAGCTTTAGCAGCTGCTGGTGGTGCAATTTCACAACAAGGAGCTTCTCTTTCAGCTGGTTTGCATCAAAAGATTGATGATTTAGGTGGGTCCAGTAGTAGTAGGGCCAGTTGGGCAATGTTAGGTGGCAATTTAGGGAGACCCCATCATGTTACTACTGCAGGATTATGGCCCCCAGTTGGAGGTTATGGGTTCCAGTCATCATCTAATACCACTGGTCCGTCAACCACAAATATAGGGAGTGACGCTGGTGGTGGTGGTTCTAGTTATTTGCAAAAAATTGGATTTCCAGGGTTTGACTTGCCAGGTAACAACATGGGGCCTATGAGTTTTACTTCAATTTTAGGTGGGGGTACCCAGCAGTTACCAGGATTGGAGCTTGGGTTGTCACAAGATGGGCATATTGGGGTTTTGAGCCCGCAAGCTTGGAGTCAGATCTATCAGCAGATGGGACAGGCTAGAGTGCAGCAGCAGCAACAGCAGCACCAGCAGCAAAATCCTTCTAAAGATGATTCACAAGGATCAGGGCAGTAATTAGTAGATGAAGGAAATAGGCATTCTGTTGATGTTGAAAGAGAGGCTGAGTGATTTTTGTTAATGGTTTTATTGTGTTGTATAATTGATAAACAAAAAAAAAAAAAAGTGAGAAAAAAAAACAGAGAGATACTTTGGGAGAATTCAATATGGACTGGATTTGGTTTGCCTCTCACTTCTCCACCACTGCCTCGCTCAGGTTTTCATAAACAGGTGCTTTATTGTCTTCCTTGATACTAGATTTTATGTTTGGTGGAAAGTATTGAGGTGGTTATTGACCCTTTGTTATGTTTTGTCTTTGATGTGGAATGTGCAGATGGGATTGTGCACAGCCAAATAGCTTGGTTTTGGGCTTAACTTCTTATTTGATTCAGAGGTGTGTTGATTATAGTGTAAGGCATCTTTAATTATTTTGTTCTTCTGTAGGTCTGGATGAAGTGGTGATTTTAATCAGTTTGTTTGTGATATGAAACATAGAGTTTCAGTCATGCTTTGTCCGATTTCCTCTTTGGATCATGCTTTGCAGAGGTGAAGATATTAAATTTTCACATTTGGCTGTCTCCTACATGCATTTTACTTGCTATTTTGTGTCTATATGATGTATTTTCTAGTCTTACCTTATTGTACAAATGCATTCTGCTTCTTGTAGCTAGAAATTTGTTCGCAAAGAACCATTTATGTCTCCCTTTTTGTTTCCTAAAATTTTCATTCCAGCACTGTTTTAATAGTGTTCTTTATTACTAGGAGATTACATAAACTGTGTGTATCTTACCATGGCACGTCCTTGTTTCCTTATTTGCTGTGCTGTACACTCTGACTATAGTAGTTCCATTTAGGATTCTATATTAACAATCTTCTTCAGGCGCAGGGAATTACCTGAATTTGTGAGCAACATCTGGTTATGTTTGTAAAGCAATCTGGTCCTGTCATGTCGTTTCTATAGCTCAAATTATAGTTTTTGCTATAAGTTTAGAAATTCTAGCAAGTTCTTATCACTGTCACAGTCAAACTGTTGGTATGAGCGGACACCCTTACATAGGATGGCTAATTTGGCAACGATTCTTACAACAATGCAATGAAGAAAGTCCTCACTCTAAGGGTTAATTAGCCTTTCCTCTCTAAACATACCTCAAAACCCTAAGACCTCTGCTTCACTGGATGACTTGTCAAATTATCAGTCATAACCAATTAGCAGCATCATTATCTTCCCTATCTGGAAACTGGTTTTCGCTTTGCAAAAATGCTAACCTACGTAAGCCATCCTTTTCCATGTAAGAGAACATCTCAGAATACGAAAAATGCTTCTCGGATGTTAATGTAGACACAGCTACTAAAGCTTTGCATGCCCTCCTATGTTACCACAAAATTATGATTTTGCTGGCTTATTATTATTTTATTTTTTTCATGATATAAATGAGAGTGAATATTGTTGTCCCAAGTTTCCAGATTTCACCTTGTTATGGTTCCAAGAGCTTGTGCTTTAGTTCATATAGGCATAGAGTTCGCTGAGCTCTGGAAGTTGAGGTTTATATATTTATGGTATTAACACTCCTTGATAGTACCATGTATTTAAGCATGGCATCTTTACTTGGAGTATCAAAGTCGGAAGCAATTTTCTCCATGTTAATAAACTTGTATTTTAGACTGTCATCAGACAGTTTCATATAGTTAAATAAATGTCAGCACTTGAGAATAGACAGTTGAAATGTTTACAAATGTTGCCTTCTATAATGGTTGAAGTTTGCATTTGAATTAGTTTTAATTTTTGAAAATCCATTTCTTTGTGATCAAGTGTTCTGCATTCAGCTTCTTTATCATAATATCTGCCTGTTATTTCTCGTGATATCAGACTGCTCCTTCCTCATATCGTGAAGGTTTATCTACATGCTTCACCAGGGTTTGATATATCTGTTATTGAAGGAATTTATTATCATTACTACTGTGTATGCGGTAGATCATCTAGAGGTCCCTGCTGTTCATTATTGTTTTCATCTTGTGCCTTTCTCACCTTTAGTTTTGTTGATCTCTTTACTTTAGTTTCCTTGTGTGAAGAATTACTGGAAACATAGAAAGATGAAGTCTCTAACGCAGCAATTTGCTGTACGTGGAAACTCTAGCTTCCATGGGTGTAAATGATGGTCAAATCATCACCAATTTTACTGGAAAGGGACCGGACAAGAATTTTGTAGAATGAAAATGAATTTTAGAATTTAAAGACTTAGTAGGAAAGAAGTGCATTAACTGTATAGTGAAATGTGTCACGTGAAGTAGATGTTTTTGTATATATATTCTCTCATATTGATGTCTTTGAAGCTTACGTGTTGAGTGGGTTAGAATTTTGTGTGTTTTGAAGTCTGAGACTGATATTTAAATTTAAGGCAGCCAGCTACTATTCATTGTTGACTTCGTCCTCTCAATTATTCCTGTGGTTGGCAATCGATTCTCTGTCCTCGTCTGCCCTTCTCAATGGTGTCTCTTTCTGCGCACCTGTTTCAATTTCTGCAACTACTGTTCTTGGCTATTTTTGTGGTAACTCTTTAAAGTTGAATGATAGAGTGTGTACATTTGCTTTTCCAAGAGATTGAGGCCGGATGCCACGAGCTATTTGATTTTAACACTCAGTTGGACCTCCACCCACCTAGTTTTAGTCTCATCAATGCCTGCAACGCTGCCACTTGCTTCCCTTTACTCAGAGATTCAAGAAATCTATAAACAATAACCCCAGCAGAATTAGCTCATTGGTATATCAGATTTGTGTGCAAAACGACATGAAAAAACCAGAGTTGTTTGCACTGGATTGTCATTTGAAGTAAATTGTTTATTCGAAGTGCCGGCGTGAAAATTTTCATCTTTTTGAAGCATATCTATATTCCTGTAATTGTCTGTCATTTTGTTCTCGTTTTCAGTTTACAATAAAATGAAGCTGAGAACTTATTTGTAAAGTAAGTGGGAGGCAATTTATGCTCAATATAACTGAGAAAGCATTGGACATTCCTTGTAGTCAAAGCATAAATTTAACTACTCTCTTTCAGAGAAATGGTTTGCCTCCTTTTAAATCTGTAAGAGGAACTAGGATCTGTTTCTCCATCAATCTAATCCTTTCGTCTAAATGCAAGAAAGGGCGATTCGTACTTGTATCATTGTTTGCGAAATGCAACACAAACTTTTGATTCGTTCAAATCATTTAACCTTCTCTTTTATGCATTATAGGTACATAATAGCTGGCAAATCACATCATCTTCAGTACTTGGTGTCTTTGTTTCATTGTTTTTATTAATTTCAATCCCCATACCAATAGTTGATTGCTTTTATATCGTTTGATTTGTCCGAATAACCTTGAGAAATTCCATGAAAATTGACATGGCCTAACCCTTTTGTCTGGCTGGCCGGAAAATATGCCGATCTGTGTTTAAAACGTTCATGATGATTGATGCTATATTTAGATAAAGGGGATCAATAACGCAAGGTACCAGCTGAAGCAGAAAGCAGACTCACGATTACCAATCCAGTACTGGATTGGTAATCTTCCACGCATAGAAAGTGTCAACTTGCATGCAGCAAAAGTATCATTTCTATGGACATAGCATGCATGCCATTTTGCTTCTTTCAGTTAATTCTTACAGTTAAAGATCATTTTGCCCCTTTTTTTTAATTATCCGAAACTGACTATTCGTTGACCATTTTAGTAGGTATGGATTGGTCTTAAAAAAAAAAAAAAAAAAACATTTTGCTGCCCCATATGTAAAAAAGTTTAAAAAATTGCAATTACTTCACGAGGGACCAATTTATGGTTGCGGCGGTTGACGTAAGAAATAAGGAACGAAAGCATATTTATCTTTGTCTGGCCGATTTGGCATATGAGTTCACTCTCGGACAGTACATAACGTCATGACAGGACAATCAGTGCAAAGACACTGAAAGACGTGAGTAGAAACATGGAGGCACACATTGCCATCTACGTATTTCATGCATTGTCCATTCCAACTTCCAATTTTCAAGGGAGTTATTGGCAAAAAAAAAAAAAAAAAAAAACAATAAGTTGTTGCTTAATGGTAAGAGAACGCGATCTCAGAAGTTTTTTTAATCAATGTACAAATTCAAATTCTAAAATTATATTTATTTAAAAAAATTAAATTTTATCATTTTTGTTTTGAATATAATTAATTCTATTTTTAATATATTTAATATAGAATGAAGATATTTGAATAAAAAAATGAAATATAGGTTTTTAATAAATCACTATTTCTTTTTAGTATGAAACCAATAAATGTAATAGGTGCCAGCTAACCTGGTTAGGGAAGGAAGTCATTTGACATCGAAAAGTTTTATAATATTACTCGTTGACTATTATAAAATTTCTCATTTGGCATTTGAACATAATCAAATCTCACTTGGATGGTTGGGATTGAGACAAGTACGGAGGTTAGGAGCATTTAGGATGTGATGGGATAAGATTTGACAAGATAATAGTTATCCAAGCCATTGTTTGGTAAACAGGACAACCGTTTTGTTTTACACTTGGTAGATGTAAAACATGTTATAAGGACAATAATACTATTCTTGATTTGAAAATGGATGGGAATTTGTCCATGTTTTGCAGGCCTGACTAGTTATTGGGTTTAGCCGACTGTTCTATTGGATTGGGCTTCCTTGCTTCTTCTAAAATTTTGTTGGTATTCTCTTAATTTGAAAATGAAGGATTCGAAATTATGTACTTTCATTGAAATCGCATTGATTGTTCCAGAATATTGATCTGTTCTTTTTCTTCTTTTTTTTTTTTAAATAAAAAAATATTAAATATATATGTTGTTAAATAATGAATATCCATTTCATATTCTCACTACTCATTATTTATTTAATTCATCATTTAATAAAAGAAATTGAAAGGATGATGTAATTGATCCAATTATTTGTGTATTTTTAATAATTTATAGTATTTTTTAATTTTAAAACCTATAAATTGACTCGATTATTTATTATTTTATGTACAAGTATTTTGT